TAAAATAGATGCTACACATAGAAACACTAACCCTACCAGTTTAATATCTTGACATCAGTGTATCTCTGCCAAGTGAGTAAGTTTCCTTTTTCCAACAGAAGATGACAAATCATCACCCAAAGTCCAAATTTCAACAGAGCTTTAGAACAGCAGACATTTTGACTTGTCAAATGTCCCAGTAATCCATGGCGGTGTGACAATGAGCCAACATTCATCGCAGCAGGGTAGTGAAATCAAAGCAGCTAAATGGAATTCAGCCATCTATGATTTTATTCACACCTGTGCTCTTCCAACTGGCAGCCTGATTGCCAGAATAAAATGTTTGCATTGTATGTTTCTGCATATCATAGATAAGTTATGTTTTTATTTTTCCTATGCATCACATCAGCGTTTCTGAAGTGACATAGTTCAGATTACATGGATATGAGTATATGAGCTGAGTTTCTCATCAGGAGGAGGAGGAGATGGTGGATTGCATGACACCTCGGTGAGATGGCTGCTAAGCAGCAGACAGCAACAGTCCACTGTTCAATATCAACTGTTTGTAGCGGGTATTTTTTAACGAGGGATGAGACATTCCAGCAGTGTCTGTTGCGACAAAATCGAATATTTTTTATCATGAGTTTGGACATTTCCAGCCATGTTTGTAGTGGCAAAAGCAGGTATTTTTCACCAAGATGTATGACATTTCCAGCTGTGTTTGCAGTGACAGATGTGGGTATTTTTTAACATGAATTCGAACTTTTCCAGCCATGTTTATAGTGGCAAAAACGGGTATTTTTAACAAGAGTTTGGGAGATTTCCAGCTGTGGTTGTAGCAACAACAGTGAGTATTTTTAACAAGAGTTTGGGACATTTCTTGTTGTGTTTGTAGCTACATAAGTGGGTATTTTTATTACAAGAGTTTGGACTTTTTCAGCTGTGTTTGTAGCTACAAAAGCAGGTATTTTAATGCTAATTCAGGACGTTTCCAGCCGTGTTTTTTAGTGGCAAAAGTGGGTATTTCTTAACAAGAGTTTGGGACATTTCCAGCCATGTGTGAGTGTGTTTGTGGCGACTAGACCAGATATTTTAAGCCAAAACTTCGTTTTCCTAACAATAACCAAGTGGAGTTTTTTCCAAAAACCTAATCACATGTTAACCACAGCACTGCTACAACAAAATTCAAAGTTTAAATGTAAAGAATAGATGAAACCTAAAAAAGGGACATGTCCATAGTTTGGAGAAACATACAATGCCAACATTTATTCTGGTGATTGGGTTGTACTTTGACATGTCTTCAGTAAAAATGACCTGTTGGAGGTCAATTAAAAAAAAACTACCATCACTTATTTCTTTTACCTCATCACATGTGTGATCATTTGTGTAATCGACTGGTGTTTTGGGGTAAAATTTAAAAAGAAAATCCACAGACTCTTGTTCGTGGTTTCTCCTCCACAATCTGCAGAGTTGGTCACATTATGTTTGCATTAAGCATTTTCAGTGTTGCTTTTATACAAAAAGTAGGTAGCAGTTGAGAGTTGCAACAAAAAAGAAAGTGGAGACAAGCTTGGTAAAAACATTTAAACCCAAGTTGAAGCACTACTGCTTCTTTAAGTCATGCCGACGAAGCTTTGCAGTCAACACCTATTTTGCAGTCGAAATGTAAACACATCATATCATCCTTACATTCACACTCGTATCCATCCAGCAGGGAGGCAAAGAACAAATGTATTGGAAAGAATATTAAACAGTTCTGAAAACATTCTTCATCTTAAGATATACTGACATTTTTTGCAGTAGGTTTCAGACATCCTGTTTTTGTTGCCAATGTGGTGATAAAAAGAAATCTGAAATTAAACATGATTTAATCAAACAAACATGAAAAGGCAACATTTACTGGAATAAAATCATTATTGTATGAATGCAGATTAATTCAGTGATGTTAAAGTAAAGGTAGAGTTGATACAGATATTTTAGATATATGTTGATTGGTTGAGCTTGGAAATGATTCAAGACTCTGGTGAATGAAGGTGTACATCAGACTGCAATAGAGCCTTTTTTTGAGATGTGTATTTGGTTTAGATAATGCAGAAGGCGCTGACCTCATGAAATCAATAACATGTAATCTAAGCATTCTGCATAACACAAGGGCACAGAGCCCTCACATCCTGTGTTGTGGTGAACAGTGTCTGCAGCCAGAAGCTCACTTCATTTTCACCTCTCATAAAGAAACACCAGAGAGGACGTGATTCATTTATAATTGAAATGGATCTAATGAAAAGGGCTCCGCTCAAGAGATGATTATTTAAAGAGGTTCAGTGGTCACAAATCGTGTGATGAATAAAACTGCACCGAAATGAAAGGCAGATCCAAGATTTTTAAAAATCTATATGCAGACAGGCAGCTCCAATCTGTCTTTTATCCTCGACTTAGACAAAGTGTGATAGTCCTCTGAAGAAAAAAAGAGATGAAATTTTTATAAGGTATAAAACTGTGATTCAGATCACATACCTTCAAAAGGAAAGGTTCAGATAACAAAACAGAAAAACAAATGAGGAGGAGGATGGTCTCTGGGTAAGTGGAGGCATTATAGGGATGATTTTCACCACAAAGCAGAATAAGCAACCACAGACTGTATAAAGGAAGTGGAGGTAGCTGCTGGGTCGGAAATGTGAAGCCAATGCTGAAATGCCTTAAACCTGCATTCTTTCTAAAGGCCAGCAGGGGGGCGACTCCACTTGTTGGAGTACTGTACATGCCCATACTTAGACTGATTTTTTTTACCTCACTGAACATTATCCCAACTAGTTTATGGTCTCAATCTCTAGTTTCAAGTCTTCTTGAATACAGCATGACGTTCATTTTGTAAATTATGGACACATTTGGAGTAAAACGGACGATAAAGCAGGGTAAGCTTTAGGGCGCGACTACCTTGTGATTGACAAGTCACTTCCAAGGTGACCTGTCAATCAGGATAGAGCTGTAGCAATCGTATCCTCCATAGCTCCACCCTTTTGTCCAAGTATGGTCACTTCTGGCTCCAAAAACCAAGATGGTGACAGCCAAAAACATGTATCTGTAGCCCTGTTTCCACCAAACACTTTCAATATAGTACCTTTGGAACCAAAAGTAACCCATCAGAAATGGCACGTAGACCCTTGGTCCACTTAGCATTTCCACCGCAATGGTACTTTTTCACAGGGGCGGGGTTGTTGTTGTTGGACTGCTCCGTCCAGCACTCACTGGAGAATTGCTTGCTGGGTGCACATGCCACTGAATATGTGCAGTAGTGTTTCTACCACTGGCCCCGCCCGCGAGTCTCCATTTGGTTTTACAAAGATAAAACCTCCTTGAATGAAAAATGTATAAGGGTAACAATAATAACTGACCTTGTTTGCTGTTCCAGGTGTCAACAGTTTTACAGACGTCTTTTTTATAGTAGTGGTCTATCGAGAAAATGCTTTTTGGGCTACAGGGATTTAAATAACTGAGAGTGGCCCCTGGGGAAGAATTGGAAGCAAAGCTGAGCAGTGTTCCTGGAGGCCTGGCCAAAATACCAAACTCGAGGCCTCAGAACGGTAGTCCACAAGCCAAGTGTGACATCACGGTGACTACATCTACATCTTCAAGTCAAACAAATCAAGAAAAAAAAATGAAGAAAATACTTACGAAAAAAGAATGTTGAACAACCATACAAATCCAATCTGCTCATTCTTAACATATGATGAGATACGCCTTTATTAATCCCCAGTGGAAAAGTTGGGTTGTTGCAGAACAGAAATAAATACAGGTAAGTATAGACGGAAACAAATAACAAGCTCCACAAAGGCCGAATTTCCTATCTTGAGAAAATAATTTGTGTATCCACTTCATGATTCAGATCTGCTCCAAAATTTAATAGGTTCTTCCTTGGCCCATGCTGGGTGTCTGCAGGTATCAGACACTTAAATTTAATGCTTTTTAAGACCATTTCAAGATAAATATCTAAACCAAATTTAAGGCTGATTTTTGAACAAATAATCAGTTTCTTATTAAGCATTGTGGGTAAGTATAAATGTAAGTAGAATATAGGTAGTCTCGTGCAGAGGTGGGTTTTATGAAGCAATGTTGGTAACAAAAGTGACTTAGGTTAATCTACATTTTGCCAACAAGAAAGTGCAAGTATGAAATAAAAAGACAATTAAGTTCAGTGGTAGGTTTAAAGATTTAAACATCAAAAATGTGGACTTTTACTCAGAAGAGCTCGACTTATTTTTATAAAAAGGAACTAAAAGATGGATAAATTAATTTAGATAAAAGCTTTGTGGCAGTTAAGACCTCACAAATTCAAACTTCAATGACATTTAAGGCCTAATATTTTCAATTAAATTTAAAGTTCCAGTGTGTAAGATTTAGGGGGATTTAATGGCAGCTAGCTGGAGGTTTGCAGATTGCAACCAGCTGAAACATCTCCCGGTAAGAATTCCTTCAGTGTTCATTGTTCAGGAGGTTTTTACTGGGAGCCGAATTATCCACAGAGGTCTCTTCCTCTCCAAGACAAACAGACCGGGTGATTAAAACTAATAAAAACACTGAATAAAGCAGTTAAATGTCACAAATCAGTGTTTTTCCAATGTTGTTTGGCATGTCGGAGACAGGCTGCTAGCCCAGCACCTCCTAATGTGTGCTCACCCTTTGTCCTCATCTTTAGAAATTTAGAAGGTTCTTACTGCCAGCTAAGTATCCACAGAGGTCTCCTAAGAATAAAGCAGGTTTGTGTTTGAAAAAAAATCAGTGTTTTTCCTACTCTCCCATTGCGGAAGGGCTGCTAACTATGGTGGCTGATGTGAAAATGTTATGTCCCTATCTAGAGCCCATGTTTGGTTTGTCCGCTCTGGGCTACTGTAGAAGCATGGTGGTGCTACAAGGCTGTAGATGAGGACCTGCTCCCTTGGTAGATGTAAACATATGTAAAATTCTTATTTTTAGGTGATTGTACACTAAAGAAAACATGCTTATTATATTATGTTTCTGCCAATATATCCTCCTAAATCCTACACACTGGGCGTTTAAGACATTTTAAGACTTTTTAAGGACCTGCAGACACCCTGGCTACACCCTTTCACCAAGTTTAATGAAAATTGGGCCAGTATTTTTTCCATAATCCTGCTGACAAACAAACAAACAAACTGAAAACATGACCTCTTTGGCAGAGGTAATAAGAACAGATTAAAAACAGAAACTACACAAGAGAATTTGGAGAAAAATTACATGCTGAAATAACAAGGTGTACAATCAGTCAGCTTCTTCAGATCAGCTGTTTGAACATACTGTAATTGGCTGTGATGATGCAGAGCAGGTGTTTAAACCTTTGTTTTATTTCCTGACACCAACATACAAAAACTATAAATGCAAAGTTACACTAAAGTCCAAAATATTGCATGTTGGTGTCTCAACACTTCTGTTCATTGTAAGTAATGAGCCCAAACCAGGAAAAACAGGGCTGTCCATATACTTTTGGCCATATTATGTTAGATGTGTGTCTATTTAAATTTTGGGAAGCAACGAACATTTTTAAAAACTGACATCCAGACACACTCTGGATATAAAACACTTGTTCACAGATAAATAAAAGGCAAAAAGAACAATATGTTTCTACACTAACATGTTAGACTACAGATCTAATTAGCAGGTAAACAAGCGATAATCAAGCAACCTTTCAAATCAAAAGCCTTAACACAAAGCTGCCAGGTAACGTCTGTCCTGTCGAGATGTCCCCTGTGCAGTCTGGCTCAGTATGTACAACAACAGCAACATCTTTGGTGTCTTCCATCCGATTCTTGTGTCCTGTGTCATTCCTTTGAGCTCCGTTGGAGAAGTGATCACATGAGGAGGGTATACAGTGTATAAAAAACTATTATTTTTCCTACAAACATTTTACATCCGCAGTCATTCCTTTATTTACAAGCATCAGCGTGAAAAACCTGTGGCGATGACAAGCTACAGTTTGATGCATATTGCCAAAGCTGCGACCCCCGTTTGTTTTGATGGAATGGTTTCTTCCATCTGTGCGTTCAGTCCCGGTGATGGGTCCTCTTTATAATCTCCTGCAGCGGGGGTGTGTGGAGTGTTTTCAGATAAAACTCTGATAGCTGTAGTAACCACATCGTCTTTACAAACAACTTATAGAACCATCAGATGATGGAGAGTTCGGGTCCGTTTCACTCGCACTCTGCTAGGTTTTCACCAGCGGCTGCTCTGAATTGTCCTCTGGCGTCTTTTCTCCTTCGCGGGATTTTTTCCTCTTCTTGTGGCCTGAAGAGACGAGACATGTCGACAGTTTAGGAACAGTTCAATGAAAATTCTGTTTTTATTCTACGAGGAGCTTATCCATATAACTGTGTCCATTCTGACTTTGGGTCGTGCCAGCTTTACACTCCTCACCTCTGTCGTAAAGATTCGGGAAATCCAGATTCTGATGTGCAGATGAATGAGCAGCTAGTTTGGTTTGCTGGTTGCAGTTAGCTACAAAAGCTAATGCAGGGGCTATGTTTACTTTTGGTGGCCTCAGACACAAGCATCTAAAATAATTACCAGAAAACTTAAGTTTATATGGACAGCTTTATGAGGCTCTCTGGAATCTGATTTTCCCAAATCTCTATGGCCGATGCAGCAAAAGAAGTTCGTATCAACCATAATCAGGCTGACCCTGATTTTAGCCCTTTTTACATTGGACTAGTAAAACCTGGGGACCTCCAGTAATCTTACTATATAATGACGAAAACTCTGTCTGTGTGTGTGTCTGTTCCACGTTTTTCTCCTCACTGACTTGGTCAATCCATGTGAAATTTGGCACAGTGGTAGAGGGTCATGGGAGGATGTGAATGAAGCAATATTACATCAATTGGCCAAAGGGGGGTGCTATAGCCACCGATTGAAATGGCAAACTTTGAATGGGCATATCTCATGCCCCGTATGTCGTAGAGACATGAAACTTTTCACAGAGTTGCCTCTTCTCATGAGGAACATATTTGCCTCAAGAACCCATAACTTCCGCTTATATAGATTTTCCGCCATTTTGAATTTTTGGAAAAACATTTCAAATGGATCTCTTCCTAGGAAGTTTGAGCGATCTGCATGAAACTGGGTGAACATAATCTAGGGACCAATATCTAAAGTTCCCTCTTGGCAAAAGTTGGAAAACTTACTAAAACTGAGCTTCTATAAGGCAATGAATATTGCGGAGGGCGTGGCTCATCACATAAAGGTGTATAACATCTCAAGGGTTTCACCCATCACCACGCAACTTTGTAGGCATATGACCACACATAATCTGAGGGGACCCCTCCATTATTGACCCCATCAAACAAAATGGGGGCGCTAGAGAGCTCATTTTTTATCTAGGCCTAACCGCCATATGGATTTTTACTAAACTTGGTAGATATGTAGAACAGGACGCCTCAAGGTGACTGGAGAAATTTAACTCTAATTGGCAACTGGGTGGCGCTATAACAACAGAAAAATGCTTAAAAATGGCTAAAATGCGACTGATCGCTGTGGCTCCCCCTGTGGACCAATGTTGGTGTTTTTTCTAATGTTTGGTATGACTAAGTCATGGTATGGTATGCTGTACATAATCACAGAAACTGTCAGTCAGTCATTCTGTCTGTCCCACATTTTTCTACTCACTGACGTGGTCAATCTATGTGAAACTGCACATAGGCATTGAGGATTGGCATAGGTAGAAGGTGACAAAGCTACCGATGGGTATGGACTAGTTTGTAATAATCATGGAGATCATGTGTGATATTAATTCTGTGCAAATATGCCATGTCCCTAATTTGTCAAGTAAAATTCATTCATCGAGAGAATGCCTAGAGTGTGTAAAGCAGTAATCAGAGCAAAGGGTGGCTATTTTGAAGAAACTAGAATATAAAACATGTTTTCAGTTATTTCACCTTTTTTTGTTAAGTACATAACTCCACATGTGTTCATTCATAGTTTTGATGCCTTCAGTGAGAATCTACAATGTAAATAGTCATGAAAATAAAGAAAACGCATTGAATGAGAAGGTGTGTCCAAACTTTTGGCCTGTACTGTATATATATATATAGTATATATATATATTTATTTACGTTTATGTTTGTTAATAATTTCTGTTTATTTAACTATATATTTGTTAATACTATTGTTTAAATTTCTTATATTTTCATGTATCTTTCCTCTCTTGCAAGGAGCACCTGTAACATAAATAATTTCCCCTCGGGGATCAATAAAGTATTTCTGATTCTGATTCTGATAAGATCAAGTCACATCTGCTCCATTACCAACAGTAACATAAGTCACAGTAATAAATCAGACATGAAATCATCTGGGATTTCAAATGAGTTGTAATTCTCTGTGAGGTGTTTTCATACCCAACTGAGATGCATAAAAATGGAGGCCTTCCTGGCAAGTAGAAAATACTTTTTGAAAACTTTATAAACTATTGTTGTTTGTGTCTATTTTTTATCTCTGTATGTAGTTTATGGCTTTTAAGATATGCTTTGCAAATGTGTATGTGTACATAGAGCAACAAAAAAAAGTGTAATGTCCCTTTAAGAATCTTCATGAGAATACAAAGTAGTCCAAGTAACTAATGTATGTTTAAGTAGGAGGCAGGATCTGGAGAGGAAGCTGTCATTGTGAGTGTGTGTCGAGTTTACATGTTAATCAAAGCAGAGCAGGGAGAGAGTGTGAGAGGCATAGAAAAGGTTGGTGAATAAGTGTTCTGTGTGTGTGTGTGTGAGAGAGTGTGTGAGAGAGTGTGTGTGAGAGAGAGAGAGAGAGAGACTGACTGAGTTTGAGCAGGAGTTTCTTGCCCAGTGTGTCCTCTGAGCCGCTCAGGGACAGGCTGCTGATGAAAGGAGACGTGTCCGTTTCTATGGGAACAGAGGCCATGTCTGAGAGAGGGAGAGAGGGAGAGAGGGAGAGAGAGACATAGTTATGACCCCGTCAATGATGAACAGCTTTGGTCTCTGTTGGAGGAGACATTAAAGTCCTGCACGACTCTCAGACAGCTTTGTGTACGAGGTGAGACGAAGGACACATCAGCCGTAGAGATGTTCTCCAATATAATGGAACTAGATGGCTCTCGGCTTGTGGTGCTCAGAGCGCCAGAAACATAGATTTAAAAACCTCAGCAGCAATGTCTCTTTCCAGAAATCATGACCTGGTTACTCAAGATAATCCACAGACCTTGTTGTGAACTATTTTCTTTCTACTGAACTACAGCTACCACACTTCATCACCCTACGTCTTCTGCTACCTGAGGCTCTCTCCGAGCAGGTTATCCCAGGAGGCCATGCTCCTTGTTTCATCCTGAATGGTGGCTCTGACACTCACTAATCCTCAGCCTCCCTCTTTTCACTGCTCGTAGATTCTCAGAGTGGAGCCCTCCGTGCATTATGAGATCCATTATATTCGAGAGAAGGCCGACATCTCTACAGCCGATACCTCCAACACTCAGCAACTCACACTAAAACAATCTAGAGTGATAAACATCTCTATAGAACTCTCCCTTTAAATAATCTATTGTTATTTATGGTTATTATCACTTGACACGTGAGTGGGAAAAGTGATCCCTCAATCAGATTGCTTGTCTGTACACAGCAATGAACAGTAAGACATCATACCAGTGTGTGCCTCAGTCTCAGGCCTGTCCTCCCTGATGTAAGGGATCTCATCCATCCTAAGAAACACTGAATCGCTGGGACTCTTCTGGCCTTCAGACTTGCTGCCTGCAGCAGATACAACACACATAAACACATGCATGCATCAAAACACATGTAATCCTCTTACTATATAATGATGAAAAAAGGGGGGCGCTATAGCCACCGATAGAAATGGCAAACTTTGAATGGGCATATCTCATGCCCCGTATGTCGTAGAGACATGAAACTTTGCACAGAGATGCCTCTCCTCATGAGGAACAAATTTGCCTCAAGAACCCATAACTTCCGCTTATATAGATTTTCCGCCATTTTGAATTTTTGGAAAAACATTTCAAATGGATCTCTTCCTAGGAAGTTTGAGCGATCTGCATGAAACTGGGTGAACATAATCTAGGGACCAATATCTAAAGTTCCCTCTTGGCAAAAGTTGGAAAACTTACTAAAACTGAGCTTCTATAAGGCAATGAATATTGTGGAGGGCGTGGCTCATCACATAAAGGTGTATAACATCTCAAGGGTTTCACCCATCACCACGCAACTTTGTAGGCATATGACCACACATAATCTGAGGGGACCCCTCCATTATTGACCCCATCAATAATGGAGGGGGCGCTAGAGAGCCTAACCGCCATATGGATTTTTACTAAACTTGGTAGATATGTAGAACAGGAAGCCTCAAGGTGACTGGAGAAATTTAACTCTAATTGGCAACTGGGTGGCGCTATAACAACAGAAAAATGCTTTAAAATGGCTAAAATGCAACCCATCACTGTGGCTCCCCCTGTGGACCAATGTTATTTTTTTTTTTTTTTTCGTTATTTTTTCTAATTTTTGGTATGACTAAGTCATGGTATGGTATGCTGTACTCAATGGGTATGGACTAGTAGTATTTATATTTTATAAGGCGATGTCCATCTGTTCATTCCCATTAGTGTAGGTTTTTCATGTGAATTTTGCCATATATGCCATTAAAGTCTTCCCTTGACTGACTGTAATTTCTCTAACCAGGAAACTGTAAAGATAATCAGGTTGCCTTCTATGAGGAACATCATTTGGTGCACCACTCTGAACAAAGTAATTAAGCCGCAGTGCTGCATTAATATTCATGTTTATGATCTCCGTCCCTGCGGTGCATTCAAAGACAGATTACTGACTGAGTTCTCCCTCGCAGTAACAGAAATGCAGCTGTAAAAGTCACTGCAGCAACACATTGGTAAAGACATGAGCATCAGCATAAAGATTTTGTATTTGGGCCCCTGGGCACAGACATGTCAAAGGCCCCACCACCTCTCCTACACAGGACTGGAAACACACACAGACTTTGTGGTGATTTTTACCTCTGTTTTTGTTGTAGTCATTTTGTGTCTGCTTTTCTGACCCTTTCCACCAAAATAAGCATGTGTACGTGGGTCTTTTAAACACAGGTAAGCAGACTAAAAATAGGCAATAGACTCTTCTCCCATTGCCAGTAGACCAGAGCTGTGTACACGGCCCTGCAGCAGACGAGTATGCCTTCTTGTGTGTGTGTTACACTGAACATCATAAACAGGCTAGAATACAGGATAGTAAACAGTAGAAAGCAGCATGCAGGCCTGTGAAAATGTGACAGTGGTTACTTCTTTTTATATGTTTATATATCTCTTATTTATTCAGTCTCTCTTTCAAACTTGGTGCTGACTCATTTGGAAGGATGTTTGAGTACTGCTTGGGCAGAGTCGGACGTGTTTCTGTGGTGGCGGGTCATTGCATCTCGCCAGTTAAGGGGCTAAAATTACCGCATTGACCCAGGTTTTATGTTTCCATCAGTGCCGATCAGAGAGTCGTTAAATACCTGTGACTGTTGCAGAGTCATTTGACCCAGGTGTATATACTGATTGTAACCTTTCCCGTAACATTAAAAAGCCAGATGTTAGCGGGTTTTTTGTGCCTCTTTTTGAATTTTTTGCCCCTTTCTGGAATTGTGTGTCTTTCCGTAGTTGTTTTGTATCTCTTACAGGTAATTTTGTATGTTGTTAAGGTAGCTTTGTGTCTTTTTTGGTAATTTTGCATCTGTTTGTGATATTTTGCATTTCTTTCCCCATCATATACTAGGGTCCCGTTTATACCACAACAATTTCAACTGAAAACAGTAAACTTTAGTTGTGTTTTGGCTGATCGTTTACACGACAGCGGTGTTTTGGGTGCCTGAAAACGCAACGTTTTTAAAACAGGTTCCAGAGTGCAATTTTTTGGAAATGGCACCGTCTCCTTTGTCATGTAAACTTGCAATATGCAGTTCCTCTGAAAACGGAGACTTTTCGCACATGCGCATTACGCTTCCAGTCACTAGGCATGCGCGAGAAAGTCGACCATCACAACAACAATGGCGGACTCCCGAGCTCTGCTTGTGCTGCTCACCCTGTTGGATTTATCAACGCTTCCCCATCATAGTGTAGATTTACTGTAGCAACTCCACCTCATCGTCCGTCCAGACAAACGTTTTTGCGGTTGCCATTTTGTTTGTTTATACATCACCGCTTTGTAGAAGGAAGCGTAAGTGTCACACTGCCAACTACTGGCCTGGCATGTATACTGCAGCGTTTTTGGTCATTTTGCGGATCCGTGTGCACAGCGATTGTTATCAAAATGTTGCCGTTTAAACGCGAACTTTTTTCAAAACGAAAATGAGAAACGAAAAAATTGATACAGCATAATATCAAGATATTTTTGTGAGGCAATATTGTATCACCAAGTATAGATTTTTTTCATTATATAAATTCTTAATATTACAAATACAAATTAAACTTTAGGTAGCTTACTAGAATAATTCATCGGTTGCTTTTCAGTCCGCTACATGCGTTTTACTGCTGCAAAAACTGCTAAAGTCAGATGAACAGACTGAGAACTTTATCTTTTTAGATAAAACAGATGTTGACAAAGTTTTCCTTTAGGGACATTATTTACAGTTGTAAAAAGATAATAAATCGCAATATATTTTATCGTGTATCCTCTGGTGATTCCATCTCTATTATATACTGTAGTTACTTTGTGTCTCTGCAGTTCCTTTGCATCTCTCTGTGGTCTTGTTGTGTCTCTTCCTGGTCGGTACTTGTTAGTTTGAGTGACATTTTGCAGGTTAAGGCCAGGGGGAGCCCTGATACTTTGGTTGACAATAAAAAGTAACTTTCATTATGTGTCTGCAAATTAGTGTATATGCAATAACAAGTGAGTTTTGGAGAAAATGCCATGTCAACACACAACCAATCGGCTTAAAAACATTTTGATGTGAATAACATCCATAAGGACTTTGTCTGTTCAGATCAGTTGTGGTTTGGAGACAGTGTATAAATCTCAATAAATCTCAGCAGTACAGTATTTATTGTGACTCCTAAAACCCAGAAAAATGTCACTTTCTCCATAATGAAACACTGACAGCTCTCAGAATTGAGGACCAGCAGACAAAAGTCTAAAACTCAAACTGCTTCTCCCTGGGATCCATTAACAGACACAAACAAGCCTCCTGTCTTTTCTTTGTTTTTTATCATCTCATTTATATTCAGTTATTCCTCTGTCCGTCTGTCAGTCTGTTTATCTCTCCTCAGCTGTGCCTCTGTCATTTTTTAAAACATCTCTTTGCAGTTTGGATGAGGTTATTGAACTCAATTCATCCTCAATATTTTGCCTTAATGAATTCCGAGAAACTCATTTGAGGGAACCAGCCTTGTTTGTCTGCCTCTGATGGCTCACGACGTCTCTCATTTATTTCAGCCTGATCTGTAATCCCGCTCCAGGACTGTTATTTCCTGTCTGTCTCTGGAGTCGAGGATACTCACGGACGATGCGGTTCTTCTCATTCAGCAGCGAGGTGCTGTGCGGGACGCTGGACTGCTGCCCTCGGGCTCGGGCCGAACTGGGCCGGCCGATCTCCCTGGGTGGGGGCATGAGGGTGGTTGTGGTGGTGTGGTCCGGGGGCATCAGCGTGGCACCGTGCTCTGCGGCCGGGGGCTCCGGGGTCGGGGAGTTGGCTTCTGCCAGACGGGCGTCAGCATCAGGTGTCTGGGGAGAGCTGTCCATCCGGGTGGCTGTTACAGCATTCTGGTAGTGGCTCCGGGTGATCTGACACACAGGAGCAGAGCATTATGGGTATTATTAAAGGGAAGATCCACCTTCTTTTAGTGTTGATAGTAAATGTAGTCAATTAAACAATACCTTTCTCAGTGCTGCTGAGTTCTCTGACTTACAAAGTCGTGCCTACATGTACCATAATGCATTGCGTGCCAGCTTCTGATACCCATAGCTATTAGTAGCCTCCTAGCCTACTAGCCAAAACATAATGTTGTGGTTAGGCTTAGATATTTTATTGGTTTTAGGTTGAACCAAAATCCAGCGTCTTCCAAATGTCTCATGTCAACGCCATCTTGACGCAGAGTAACAACATTTAGTCGTTAAGTACGGAGATAAAAACCCAACGTCTACAAACTGACACACTACCGTCCACACAATGTGAAATTCTAACGTTGTTAGACATTTAAAATATCATCAACCTGATTTTCATTCCAACCAAAATTTAGCGTCTGTCTGATGTAAGAGTCCAATATCTTTCTGATGTCATACTGACGTACGGTGGAGGTTCTCTCCACTCTTGTCAAACGTCGTCTGAGGACAAAGTCTATGATAAAAGGCAGAAACTGAAAACTCAGAGATCCCTGACGTCATGTGACATTCAGGTGTTACCTTTATGATCTGTAGATGTGTGAGCTGTCTGACAGAGTAATCCGGCAGGTAGGCGTTCCCCCCTCCGTTCAGTTGGCCCATGCTTCCTCCGTACAGCATCGACTCAGAGCGGTCCAAACCACTACTGCGAGAGGGGGATCTGTGGACTGCAGGAGAAAAAAACACAACTTAATTAAGCACTTTTACAGATATGAATAAGACCTAATTAAATCACAGGTGAGCTCAGGGATGCTGCTTCATTTTGCCCCTCTTAATGCGAGGTGGGTTCATCCACTGTGGCTGAAAGCTTCCATTCATTTGAGCCACTTCACTCGGTGACTGCTGCATTCATTTTCTGTCAGTTAAATGACTTGGAAGTGTTCGCATACTTCAAGCTGTTCATGGTGATTTAAATGCAATGAGTGAAGATTCCTGGAGAGTATGAGTGCTGCTGATCAGGTCTCTCACTCCTGATGATTTACAAAACACACGCTGTGTTCAGGCCTGCAGTAACACCACACACAGGTTTCCCTAATGAGCAGTAATTTACTGAAACAAATTGTAGATTCTTTCAGTCTTTTGTTTCTTTTCGTTCTCGTAACTTTTCAACTTTACTTTCCTTGGTAAATAAATCAAGTGTATATTTGTGTATAATACATTTAAAAAGCACTTTATAAAAGTTGAAAATAACTTGAGCTTTAACAATGAGCACATTTTGAGACATGCACTCACTTTATGTGCTAAAATAACATTACGTTTTCAGTTTAAGGTGAAGATTTAATGGACAATAGGTTTATATACTGTATTCAAAGTAAGGAGGTTTGGTCTGGGTGTTAGGGAGCAGTTTGTCACTGAAACAAAATAGAAACAAAACCGTTGTGTACCTGTTGGCATGATGGAAGGAACCCCAAAGTAAGAAAAGGCTCCATTCTCAAACTTCAGTGCTTCTTTACCGAACTCCACCTCAACTCGGCCCTGAAGAGACACACAAACACAATGTGAGCTGACCAGCGTCTGCCTGCGAGGAGAATGTATGTATTGCATTAATAAAGGGTAACTGCGGTATTTTCCATCCTAGACTCTATAGCCCCGTTTCGACAAAACACTTTCGCTATGGTAGCTTTGGAACCAACAGTAACCTTTCAGACATGGTACCTACGCCCTACCTAGCGTTTGCACCGCCAACAGTCCAGCACTCACTGTATTTCCTCCTTGATCAGTCTGCACCTGGTTTATCGTCCACAGAACGAGGCTGCATGCTGACATTTTCAGAACAAAATAGAACAGGCTGCAGTGAGAGTCTCTCTCCATGGGATATTTAAAAATAGCAGCTTTGTGCATTTAGTCCTTCTGAGGCAAGCCCAGGGGTTTAGTGTTGCTGTAGCCCATAGGCATTTCTAGTCCATTTTGGGGGGTGCTGAAGCACCCCTAAATTGAATCCCAGCGCCCCTGAAATTTGAGAAATTTTTAAAAAAATTTTTTTACTGTATGTCCCTTTTTAACAAGCTAGAAAGGTGTCAAAACCATACAGTACTTGGTTGCAACGTAATATTTTAACAACAAAAATACAGCAGCACCCCCCTTGCCTCAAAAATGGTTTGATCCACCCCATCCCTCCCACCTTTCGGCGACTCGCTCTCTGGGCGCTCTATCTGCACAGAGCAATGCGCTGCCTTCCAGAGTGGGTGATATGCAGTAGTGGTGTAAGTACCTGGCTTAAACCAGGATATGTGGCACATTTCCTAACTCCTACCACTCAATACCAACACATTATTATCATTACCAGTCCTCATTTTTGCTACATTTAATCGTAGGTCACTGTTTATGTTGTTAGGTAGGAGTTAGCTGACGTTTTTTCTAGCTAGGAAACGTTACAGGTGGTCAGTACCACTGTCCTCTGTTTGAATTGGAATGAGAGAAGCTAGCTGTTGTGTCATGTGCATGTGTTAATATTAAAGCCAAGGTGCTACTGACTAGCTAACTGACTGGATGCACATTAACATTATAACTCCTATTGTGTGTATTTATTATTATTATTTTGTAGATTTCAAGCACTTTTCTTTTTTGAAGTGTATTTTTATTTATGTATTTGTATTATATAATACAGACAAGAAGGAAAAAGGCAGAGACAAACATTGAAAAAGTCAATTACTGTTAATGTGTTAATGTTACATGTTGTGCATTGCATTTCAAATAAAAGTCCAAAAAATAATCCAAGGTCCATTTTTGGTATTTTTGTTACTCACTATGGGGGGCTGGTTTACTCCAGAAACATACATGCTGTTTATGTGTATGTTGAGGAGCTGCTGTATCAAAATGAGTTATCCTTCCCCAGAAATTAGGGTTACGATATGTTTCTTTTATGATTCCAATCCATTCCTCTTTTGCTGTGGCTCAGCATTTAAATAACCTTTATCAGATTTGATGGTTTAGTCACAGACTTTCCCAAAAAGTGTTCTTCTTTCACAAATGTGGGAATGAAATTGAGTTAAAATGTACAAAACAGTGAAATTTATCTTGCCTGGCCGGGCAGCTCTCTGGGTGCTCAGCACCCCTAAACCTCTGATCCTAGAATCGCCCCTGCTGTACCCCACAGGAACGAAGCTCTGTAACGCTTTTTTTTTCGCCAAGTGAGGATTAGAATATATGCAGTTCAAATAACCCGCTAAAAATTAATGAATATTTTTAAATGCTTGAAGATCCAGTCATTACTAAAAGTGTGTGTCATCCAAGAGAGACAATAAAAACTAATTGAATGGTCAAAGTTGTCACAGTGAAACTTAAGGTGTGTTGATGGACTCATGTTGTCAACTCATACATTGAGTAACAGTACAAATAAACATTCCTCCAATAAAATCAAACAATAAAATTACTGTTTATTTAAATGGAGTCTGGTGGGTTTGATGACAACGATTTTGAGGCTGGTTCTGGTTAAAACAGAAAGGATTGTATAACAAAGAGGTTGAGATCCTTCCCATAATGTTGTTAGACACTTTACAATAATCTAAACAGGTCAGTTGACTTCAAGTTGACGTAAACTGACAGAGCGAACACGCCCCGAATGGTTACATTGCAGTCTGTTTCTCCACTGCCAGATACATCGCTCTTGCTCAATACTGGACCAGTTTCAAAAACTGCTGTTCCGATTAGTTGCTTAGACACAAAAACATAGGAATATAGGATCCAGGTTGAAAAGTTACCCTTTAAATTAATACCTGCAGGACCAGGATGAAGTAATCCACCGGTTTGTTGCGCTGGAACAGGAAGTGCTGCTGCGCTCGCTTGTTCCTCTCATCAAACTTGAGTTCCTGAACCACGCTGGGGTGTTTGATCAGCCTCAATAAGATCTTCTCTGAGATGTGAGCTGGTTTGAAAGGCTCCACCTCTGATGGAGAGGAGAGATGAGTTCTGATGGGGCCACAAACAATCAGGAGGGTTTTCCATTCCAATTTCCGTAAACATATTTTCACTCGTAAGTGCTTTATCATAGGCAACTGGACTTGCTTGTGTTTCTTGAAGACGTTTCGCCTCTCATCCAAGAAGCTTCTTCAGTTCTAAATGACTGGTACGAAGTTGCAGGCTATTAACCCTGTGTGGGTGGGAACCCTTGCAGAGTTGTTAGGGTCACATGAGCTCTTAGTTTCACAGTCGTTAAGGTCACAATGTTGTCTTGGATGAGAGGCGGAACGTCTTCAAGGAACACAAGCAAGTCCAGTTGCCTACGCTATAGCACTTATGATTACCATGACCTGGATGACTGAGAATCTTCACCGACATATTTTCACTTATACAGAAATTCATAAGAATCCATTCACTGAAAAAAGCTCATCATCACTCTAGGCTCCAGTAGGGGAGCATCTCTATATTAAAAATGGTCATGATAGAGGCTGCACAACTTTGCCAGAACATTTGACATAAAAGTGTGGACCTACATTTATCTTTAACCCCACCTTTAGCTATAGCTAAATCTTAACATAAGCCAACCCTGAAAGTTGAGGGTTTTGTGGAAAATCAGATGCAATAAAAGCCAAAAATTCAGATTTAAAATTCATGAACTAAGGTATGAATGCTTATTTTTTGGCACTCTCCTCCACACCTACACCTCCTCTCACACTCTACTCCTTTCCTCTCCTCACAGCAGGCTGCGGTCTGTTTTGGACAGAGCCTTCAGCACTCCTCTGGGGCGCCCTCCCTGTCTCAAACAGCAGTGCTGAGTCCATTTCTATGTTTAAATTTAGACTTAAGACACATCTTTTGAACTAAGCCTTTTAATTAATGTTTTTTTTTAGCTTGTTTTTATGTAAAACCTCCAAAATAGCAAGAGATATGAAGCATGAGTTTGTTTTCAGGTCTTGTTGGATGTAAATTGAACCAGCTCAAGATTTCCAGGAGAGTTGTAAGGGTCCATCAGACATGAATAGAGATGCACAGTATTCAATTTTTGCCGATATCTGATATGTCGATATATTGCAACTCATTTCGCCGATAACCGCTGACAGATACAGATTCATCCACTTTTTTCCCCACCTAAGTTTAGTGATCATCAAGTCTCTTCTGTAGTGGAATTAACATCATATTATCCATGCATACTCTTATCGTGATGGCCAACCAGCAGGTGGAGACATGAGATCAATACTTTTCAATGTATGTAATATTCATTGTGCAAATTAGGAAACCGATGATGTACTGATATTATTGTGCATCCCTAGACATGAGAGATCATCACCTCCCCTTGTAAAGATTTTAATCCTCTAACTCTATACAATGATTAAACATTAAACTTAGGCTTTATTGATAAAGAACATTTTTTTCCTTAGAGAACTGAGGCTGGAGAAAATACCCTCAGTTTGAATGATATCCCTGTGAGGAAGTTTTGATCTGCAAACATGAACAAGGACATGCAGCAGCGAGCTGATTGGCGGTTACCTGTTGACAGGAAGCGGTGCGTTGCCAGGAGAAGCTGAGGAGAAATGTTCACTTTCATCTCGTTCTCTGACAGTTTGAAGATGGAAAAGTCCTGCTGCTTCCTCTCGTGATGAGAAACACGACGCTTGGTACGATTATCAGCTGACAGAGCAGACACACACCGACACACACAGATGAAGCGTATTTAAATCACAGAGCTCTTACTGAACACTCTGAACTCCCCAAATATTCTGTCATGAGTCTGTGCGCGCGCATACATACTGTAGAGGTCGGTCTCGTCAAGGATCTCTGACTTGATGATTTCCTCGATGACGTCCTCCAGGGTGACGATGCCCATCACCTCGTAGAAAGGGTCGCCCTCGCCCTCGTTGTTCACCCGCTGCACGATGGCGAGGTGGGACTTTCCTGGATGGAGAGGTCAAGAAGGAGCCTCGAATTAGTATCACTTTGAATCCAGAATTCATTGAACAGAACATTAATAACATCATAAAACTCAGTGTGTGGAGAAACTGTGCATATTACTTGTCAACATAACATGAAACTATGCAGATCTGATTTATGCCAGTGGTGTCATGAAATATTTTTCAATCTCAGCTTCATTCCAGGTAAAACATGAAATAATAAGACAGGGAATTGCTTTTCCCTTTTCAGTTTGCCCATCTGCACTTCTCAAACAAACTTTAGAAACATAAACATTTATGTTATTTTTGCCTCTCAGAGAGCAGTTTATTTTATTTTTTTAAATGATTTTTCATCTTTTCACCTTCATCTTTACTTTGCTGTCCCCGAGAGGAAAGTTTTCTTGCAGCCAGGTGAAACACAAAACACACACAGACTTGAGCATAAAATATAAATAGAAATACATATAAATATAGAATATAAAAAGTGTGAAACAAACCAAACAAGCTCACAGAAAAACAACAGACATCGGTGACAGCATAACATAAAATCTGGTGTGTATTCAGACGTCATAATCCAACCCATAATCAGCAATGATGTACGGCATGTCAGCACTGAAACTAGCTGTGTCCCCAACTAATAATTTACATAGTTGAATCTGATTTGTTAAGGACTGACTGTCGGATCATGTTTTTGTTTTGTCGCTCATTTCTAATTTGCTACGTTAGTTTCCATTTTTACCGCACCAGGAAAAAAAGAGCTGAAACACCAAACTGAACAATTTGTCCTCCTGATTTGGCAGAATTGTTTATTTTATGACAGAATCTGTTCCATTCAGAGCTGTTTATATGTGTTGAGGGTTGTGTTTTTGTGCAGCACTGTACACACAGTACTGAAAGGGAGCTGCGAAGATCGATATACAGACAGAACATGTCACCTAGTTTGGTTTCTGTTTGCTTGTTGTAAACAGAACTTTCGACTTTCTCTTACAGGGAGCTGTAAACAGCTGTTTCTACCCACCTCCACCTCCTGATTTTGACTGAAAATTAGTTTATTTATAAAGCACAGTTTGGCAGCAAGGCAATTTAAAGTGCTTTAAATAACACATCAAAAGCATCTCCTCTCCTCTCCTCTCCTCCTTTTTTAAATAACGTGTTGATGCCAGAAGCAGCTGACCCCTGGGTATTTTCACATAATCTTACTGGCTTTCATTCAAATAAGTTTGGACACTACTGAATTATTGGGAGAAAACAATCATTTCTATGTAAACTCAGACTCTCAGCACCCACATGTAGCCCAAATGGAATGATGTTTTGTTTCATTATCACATTTTCCTGCTATTGCAACTGTTGGCCATAGAATCAGGCTCCTTAAATCAAGTTGTGTCAAATCACGATCACAAGTCATCACAAGTCGTCTATCCAATTCCGGGGTCACCTCTACTTGAAACCAAGCTAATATCCTCCTGAGAGCCTGTGTCTTCATATGAGGACGTCACATTTCGGGTTTACTTGACTTTATACTTCATTCGACTTAGCTCAGACCTGTTGTTTTCAATTGTGGACACTTTTTTGTGCTATCTAGTGGCAGTAAGAGCACAATACACTAATCCATGTAAAAACAAGATGGCAGCCATCTCTGCCAAGTCAGTCTGCAGCCAGTCCTGACACATGAGTGGACAAGATCCAAAACCTGATCACATTTTATGGTTGAAACTTGTTTATTAGTGTTAAGACTGTTTGTAGTTTGATAAGATTTGACCAATTTTAGCAACAGTAACAAGCTGAGACGCTGTTAATTAGGAAGCCGTCAGCCTGCATTAGGTGGAGTTGTGTTGCTACCCCCTCTCCCCTGGGATCTCCACAAGTGATGTGAGGACTGTAAAACTTCACCTGAGCCTCCCTTGGTATATGGGTGAGTAGATAATGGCTGAATTTTCATTTTTGGGTGCACTATCCCTTTAACATCAATAACTGAAACTGTCTGAAATTAGTTGCTGTAAAATCTTGACAGTAGTGATTAGTTAGTTAATCATCTTAGAAAGGCTCAGACTCACTTCCAATAAATCACTAACATGTGTTTCCTCTGATTGATGAGATGAGCTGGAAAGCAGGGTGCAGTTAGTCAGTAGAATGGCTGCATATTGTCAGATAAACAAGATTTTATATTTTAAATTTCAGATTAGATTTGAGTAATGCTGTCTCCTCTCACATGTGTGCATGACTCACACTGAGTGGGAGCTCTGCAGTCTGATGCTCAGTAAGTGGAGCACCAGCAGGAGCTGAATGGAGTGGGTGTAACAGCGGGGAGGATTCAATACAAAACAAAAACACAATCCATCACAGGAATACACTCCAGAGACGGCACTGTGTTTACCTCCAGGATGATGAGTGTGTGTTTCTGGAGGTAAAATCTTGGGGCATTTCCAAGGATAAATGGAGTAATTAATAATCCGTGCACTGCTGCGTGAAAAAGTTGTTCAGGGGCAGATTTTCTTTTACACAAGGAGGAAATAAAATAAAAAGGCTGGAGGACTCTTAAATGGGATTTAATTTAAGGCGGGTAGATCTGTAAACGAAGCAGGAGGAATAACAAGGAAGGGTTGTTTATGTGTCTGTCCCGATGCCAACGTGTGTCTTAACAGCTAACGAGATACTGCACTGCAGGCAGCAGCAGTCATTTGTTGTGTCACTCGTCCTTGCATAATTCAGAACTTTACTGTCAGATAGACATGTGCACAAATATACAGAAATACACACTCCCGCTGCACACATACAGTAAATGTACACATGCAGAAAACAGAGTGAATCTTTGTTTGTAGCTCCTCCTCGACAGTCTGGCTCCAAATCAAATTCCTTACCGAGATTCTCTCCCTGCTTCTACACTCTCTGCCTGCCAAATACTACCTCTCACACACACACACACACACACACACATGCAAATGCACACAATTTTGGCAGAGCTGCATTCAGCTAAATAGGTCAGCCTTACATACAAAATAGTCTGAAAGAGGGAGAAGAGAGAGTATTTGCAGCTAATGTGTTATTATGTTCTTTCTCTCTGTATTCTGCAGATGTAAGAACTTCATCTCTGTTTTCTGTTTCTCCATTAGCGTCGTTTCCACACCTCTTTTTTCACTTCCCAACTTTCTTTTATTTCCTCAGTTTTTGTCTGTGCTGACTAAAAGTTATAAACAAAGATTTGGATTGAAAGACTCATTAGATAGCCTGGAACAAAATGTTAGCATTGTAGGTACCTGGAAACCATGGATATGTTACATTTGTACGTTTTAAATGTATTATATAAATGTGTCTAAAGTGAAACAGTTGTGATTACATGCATATGAGCTGACTTTGTCATCAGGAAGTGGATAGTGGATGGCGTGACACCTAGATGAGACACCTGCCAAGCTGCAGACCAGTGTTTGAGACCAGCAAATGACAAAACCAGTTGTTTTCATGGCCGCATATGAGCTTGGCCAGGTGTGTTTGGGAAGTACTGGATGAATGAGACTTTAGTTATACCGCGAGAGTTGTGTGATTTTGTGTTTTGCCCATGTATTTGGAAAGGCTGCAATCATCCAGTGCACTGATGGGACTAAAGAACGAAGCGGTAGATGGGTCACAAAACACAGGACTTTCCTCCAGGACTTTCCCCAGGAGACTGGTGTTCAGAACCGTGAACTTTGAGTTATTTTTCATCACGTTTCTTTTCCTAAACCTAACCACAGTATAACTTTACCAACCTAAACATGTCGACAACTTTACGTAGAGTACCTTACACCTACTGTCCTTGTCCCAGTATGCAAGCATGGGAGAGGCCAAAGTATTGACCAAAGTAAGACCGACTCTGCTACGATAGGTGGCAACATGCCCGCTTTCAGTTTGTCAGTATTGGACCTTTTTCTGGTTGATCTATTACGTCACAGACCAAACAATGGACAAACAAGTTAGCTACAGTTAGTTAGTGGCAACATGGTACCATGGTGGACAACTTTACAGCTCTGTACATTTCGTCTGTCCAAAAATGCACAGCTCTGGATGTAGATTTCATCAAGTTGTTACCAACTTCTTCTTCTGTTATGCATTTAATGCTATTCGAAAAAGCCCATGGTGGACACTTTGGAGCATGTGCCAAGCGCCTGGGCCACTTTGGGTCAGACTGTTTCTATACATACTGGAGTAATTCGACTACCAGTCGCATTATCTGGGTGTGTTAGTCCAATTGGGAAATGTAAATTTTAGTCTGTTTTTAGTCAGACTAACACAATAAATCGATTTTCTCTAATGTCATCTAAACATCCTGACTGATCATCTCATTACAGTGCAATGTTCTGCTGGGAGACCTTTGGTCGTGGCATTCATGTGGATGCCACTTGACATACACCACCCACCCAAACACCATTCCAAATCGAGCACACCCCTTCATGGCAGTGGGCCCCCAGCATGACAATGCCCCATGCCACAGCGCAACACTGCTCATGAATGGCCTGAGGAATGTGACAAAGAATTCAATTTAGCCTCAAATTCCCCAAATCCCAATCCAGTTGAGTATCTGGGGGATGTGCCCCAGAGGTCTTACATCCATGCCTCGACAGGTCAGAGCCAAGTCCAATCCACCATGCGTCCTCTAACCTGTTGAGACAGGACCTCTGGGAGTGTCCTGCTGTGTCTGGCACCAGGGTGTTGATGGTGGATGGGGTACCAGTACATCCCACTGATGCTCGATTGGATTGGGGAATCTTAAAGCCAGATTGATGCCTTGAATTCTTTGTCAGCCATTCCTGAGCAATTGTTTGCAGTGTGGCATGGAGCATTGTAATAATACTATTTGAAAATGGGGCCATGAAAATGGTCAATGGAGCTTTACAAGAGCTCAAAAAGGCTACTTAATACAGAACTCCCTCTAAGAAATGCAGCCTTTGTTCCTGTCCGTTCATACTGTGAGGGACCACCTTTTTCCAGTGACAAGACCTGCAAATGTGTGGACGAGTAGGGTAGACTCAG